TGATCCTGAGCTGGTTGCTCAGGGACTTGCATTTTATTTCTGGTGCTGACAATAAACCACGTGGCCGCAGACAAGTCCCTACACCTCTCGGCTTCCGTTTTTCCCTACCTTCAGAAAGACCATTTTATAATCCCTGGGACATGTTCATTTGCTGGCTAGGTTTTGAGACAAAGACGATCTGTATTTGTCTCTTGGATATTCAAGTGTGTAGGCTCTCTTGTTCAAATCTCTTGAACTTAAGAATGTGACGAGCACCACGATCCCCACCAGGAGATGGCACGGCGGGTCTGTGGGCTAGGACATGGAGGGCCGATGTATTTACATACTACCTTCCTATTCTGTGAGTGACAGGACCACGAGGAAGGCCACTCCTTGATTAAGCTCTGTGACACCCTGGCAGCATCTGGTGGGCCTCTCCTTATAAACATGAAGTGGACCTTGGCCAGGTGCGGAACATGCTACAGCCACGAAGGGCTGGTTTGAAACTTTCCCAAGAGCTACAGATTCTATAACCTAAGGCTAACGTCTCCCAAGCTACTGACGGAGATGGACCTGGAGGAGGGTTTTCAGTCGGTCTCAGTAACGACCAGGAACGGGCACGATCGAGGGCTGCTGTGAGTGGGCATTGAGTTCAGTTTGGGGTTTGGAATAGCAGAGCACTAGAAGCAGTGAGTTAAACAAATTAGTTTGGGGGGTGGTCTTCTTTCTCTCGCATGTAAAAGTAGTTCAAGAGTAGTAGTCTGGGCCTGACTCTAGCAGCTCCCGTGAGGTTAGGGATCTAGAGCCTCTGACCTAATCGTTTGGCAACCTTACGCACACCTTCTATCCTAAAAGCTGCCCATGATGCTGAAGTGGCTGCTGGAGCTCCCGCCATCACACCTCCATTCCCAACAGATGAAAACAAAGGGTAACGGACAGGAGTGTGTTCCTCTCAACTGAGCCGTCTCCAAGGAAGCCCACCCAACAACATGTACTTACACATGTCCGTGTCACTCCGAGCTCCCTGGAGAATGGACCCTGTTCGGGTGACTTGGAGTTCATCCCCACACCCTGAGCAGGTGGTTATGTTGATACGTCTGGGTGCCTTTGAGAACGCTCATCTACCATGTTCTGTGTTGCTTGTTGACTGCCATGGAGTCACGCCAACACACAGGGACTCCATGTGACAGGGCAGAACGGCCTCTCATCTCCACGAGAGCGGATAGCCGGCTTTCTCCTGCAAAGTCGCTGCGTCAGTGGGAACCTCCACCCTTTCCGTGAGCAGCCGAGCACTTCACCATTGTGTGACTGAGCTCCTGCTGGTCCCACCCGGTGCCCAACAGAACAGAGCACTGCCCGTCTGGCACCATCCTCACAGTGGTTGTGTTGAGCCCATTGCTGCCACCACGCTGTCAATCCATCTTGTCAAGGGTCGTCCTCTTTTTTTGCCGCCACTCTGCCTTTCCGAGCATGAAGTCCTTCTCCAGGGACTGGTCTCTTCGGACGACAGGCCCAACGGGCATGAGCCTTTGGCAATTCTTCTTCCAGGACGGAGTGACTTGTTCTGTGGGCTGTCCGTGCTATTTTCAGTAGTCTTTGCCAGCCCCACAATTAAAATGCACCGGTTTTTCTTTAGTCTTCCTTATTCACGGTCCAACTGTCACGTGCCTCTGAGGCGACTGAAAATTCCATGGCTTGGGCCAGGCCCCCTGTAGTCTTCAAAGTAACGTCCTGCTTGTCAACACTTTCAAGAGGTCTTGTGCGGCAGGTTTGCTGAATGCAGTGCATCGTTTGCGCTCCTGACTGCTGCTCCGACGCCAACTCAACCTCTCTGAGCGGACGACGGCTAAGTTTCCAGGTGTGTGAGGGCCTGCAGCGCTCACCCTACTGCACAGGGGACTGCTTGGTTCAACTAAGGTCATTGGTGGAGAGGCTTTTGGAGGTATTCCCAACCGGTTGCTCAGTGCTCTCTCAGGATGTTCAGGTTTGTAGTCCTAGCTCTCTCCACCGTAGGTGACGTGGCACTCACACAGGTAACCCACCTGTCTGCATAGCTCCACGCACCTGGTGTGGGAGCTGAGATCAGAGCCCTCTGGAGGCAGTGCCCCCTCATGTGCCTGGCCCACTGTGAGGCTGAGCCCCCCACCCCTGCTCCTTTCCTGCAGTGATTCCCTACTATGTGTCAGTCACCACCGGCAAGCACAGGGACGCGGCCACTGACAGCCGGGCCTTCATCTTCCTCATCGGCGAGGAGGAGGAGCGCAGTAACCGCATCTGGCTGGACTACCCCCGAGGGAAGAGAGGCTTCAGCCGCGGCTCCGTGGAGGAGTTCTACGTGGGAGGCTTGGACGTGGGCATCATCAAGAAAATAGAGGTGCTGACCGTGGGGGTCCCATGAGGGTGACGCTCCCCCAGGGAGGAAAGGGGTGACCACAGCGAGGCACAGCTGACCCGTTACATGGTGGAAGGAAGCTTGGGCGGGGCGGCAGCCACCTCAGGCGAGTAGGGGAGGGAGGTCCCCTGGCCTCACCACCAACTTGTTGCCATGTGACCTTGAATGAGTTGTTGCCATGTGACCTTGAATGAGTCGCTGGCACTCAAGGTCCCAATTTCCCAACTTCCCAAGGCCTCCAGGTGCATTTTCTCCTGCTAAGCAACCGATAGGAGCCCAGCCGTCTTAGTGGTTATGTGTTGGGCTGCTCTCTGCAAGGTCAGAAAGCCCGTCACTCTGTGGGAGAAAGACTGGGCTTTCTACTTCCATAAAGCATTACTGCCTTAAAATTGGAAGTCCAAATCTACTTGATGACGCTGAGATGTGACAGATGACCGCGGATTTCATCTGTTAAAATAATGCCCATGTATTACTGTAGCGTTTCCCTGAGTCAAGAGTCCAGCTATCGGTTCTCTCGCGCCCTCATCTGAGAATCGTACTGGGAGAAAACCAAAGCTTGTCTGAGGCCCAGTGACCTCTTCCAGGTTCTCTGGTGCCTGGCAGAATTCAGTTCCTCAGCTCATGGATGAGGGCCTTAGCTCGTGGAGGCCCCCTGCTGTGCCCTGCCCTGCGGCCCACTTCCCAACAAAGCCAGCAAGGAAAGTCGTGCTGTTTCAGATATCTCTGGCTTCTCCAGATCCCCCTTTATTTTTAATTTATTTTAATTTGCTTTATTGGTATATACTTCACATATCACACATTCAGTCGTTCAATCATATGAATAAGAGTTGTACAATCATCTCCACAATCAACTTTAGAATATATACTTCCCTCTTATACCCATTGTTATCAATTTTCTACCTCCCCATAACCTTTCCCCCAAACCCCCACACCTCCCCCACCCCAAAGAAACTAATGATATAGTCACTGTCTCTATAGCTCTACCCCTCTGGATTTCATATACAGAAAAACATAGAAAACAAAATATAGAAAAACAGAACAAAATAAAACAAGAACACCGCCCTCTGCGTGATAGCAAGGCCATCCACATCGCTGGTCTGTGGTCAGTGGCAAGTCCTGGAGCTTTGTTCCATGTGCTGACCACTCAAATGGATGTTGGACTCCCACAGTTATCCGTAGCCTTCCGAAACCAGGTGTTCACAACCTAAGCTCTGATAGCATTCCCTCCTTCAGGGTTGGGTTTTTCATTGACTCACACAGGCTGGCGAGCTTCTTCCACGTGGGCCCAGTTGATGCCTTTCTCCCGGCTGCTCCTTTGAAGACAAGCTTTTAAGACCCAAATGCTATTCTTTCTTGTAGCCTTGACCACACTTTGCTATAGTACTCATATCTTTTAGTGTGAGTGTGTGAGTTTGGGTACTTTAGAGAAACAAATCCACAGAAACTCCTATGCATAAGAGAGAGTTTTATATAAAGGTTAAGTGCACACCAAGAAAACATCCCAACCCAGTACTGCTCAAGCCCACAAGTCCAACATTAGCCCATATGTCTGACACCAATGCACAAAGTCCTCCTCCATCTCACAAAACACACCCAATGATGTTGGCTGCTGGAGGAAAGCCAAATCAGTGAGCGTATAAGCATCTCAGCGCTGGCAAGGGTCTCCATATGGCTGCTCCCACACCCAGGGCTGCATTGGGGCAGGTCCATGCGACTTCTCCTCAGGGATGTCCTGCAAGAAGTGAGCCTTGCCAGCTGAAGCAGGGAACTGGCTAAGCCAGCTGCACCCTGGTCCGACCATCACAAAGCAAGAGACCTGACCCGAGAACTAGAGAGGTGAGGCTCACCGAGCCATTTATCCCGCCGCCACCCTTCAATTAACCCCACATGTGTTTATTGGCCAGGTTGACACAATAAACTCTAACTATCTCTTTGAGCTTTTCTTGAGGGCAAGCATCAAACTGGGCCAGGTAATAAGAACCAGTTGTTCCCAGATTTGGGCTAGAATTAGGTGTGACCCCCAAATCTATTCATATCGCTACAGTTTGTGTGTCTTTGGCTCACTTTAGAGACATCATTGTCATTTTATGTTAGACTTCCTCTGCTCATGCTGCGTTACTCAAGCCCGATTTATAGTGGAGCCGTTGCCTGTCTCTCCCACACGACCAGATCCCAGCCTTCTGGAGGCAGTGAACGCTCTGCAGACAGGACAGCCTTGCCCACTGAGTGGTGCCCCTCCCCCTGGCCTAGTGCCCAAGGCAGGTTGGGTGTTCCAGCCTTGCTGAATGAGCGGCAGGCACTGTCCTTGGTGCTGAGAACATGAAGGAGGAAGGGCCCAGAGGCCATGGGGACAGAGGCGGGTCTGTAAGCTCCCCTTACACCACCCAGCCCGCTACAGGTCTGACCGCCCCCACGCCCTTTGTGCCCAAGAGCCCTGGTTTTCCACTTCGCCTGACATGGCCCTGGAGGAGACAGAAGTGATCGAGTGGAGGGAGGGGGATAGGCAGTCAGTAGGCAGGTGTGCCTAGGAGGGCCTCTTAGGAGCTCTGGTGGTGTGGTTACACTTTGGGCTGCAAACGGGCAGGTCAGCAGTTTGAAACCACTAACCACTGTGCAGGAAGGAGAAAGGTGAGGCTCTCTACTCCCGTGAAGAGTCCCAGTCTCAGAAGCCCCCCGAGGCAGTTCAGCCCTGCCCTATAAGGCATCGACTATGAGTCTGGGCTGGAAGGAGGGTCTCCTGACCCCCAGGAGGCCTCGCCACTGTGAAACCTGAGAGTTGCGGCCACAGAAGTCATTCCTTGGTGCTCACTAGGAACCCCTCTGCAGCCCCGTGGACATGTGACCCCTGGGCTGGGCTGGCGGTCGAAGGAAAGAGTAATCATTACTGCCACCCCGAGCAGGAGCTCTGGTTATGAGTTGGTTGCAGTCCACAATGTCAGCCGTTCAAAACCACCAGCTCACTCCGTAGGAGGAAGGCGAGGCTTCCAGACTCAGAACCTCAGTCTTGGAAACTGCCCTATAGGGTCACTGTGAGTGGGCATCGACTCCGTGGCAGTGGGCTGAGTTTGGGTTTGGAGCACTGGTACCTGCCAGCAGCCCCTCAGTGAGAGCAGGGAGCCTTGGAGAGGTGCTTGGCGGGAGGGGGCGGAGAGGGGAGCAGGAAATGGAGTGTGGAGGGCCCAGACACCCCCAGAACCAGTGTGTCCTCTCCTAGCTGGGCCATGATGGGGCCTCCCCAGAGAGCTGCTGGCTGGTGGAGGAGCTGTGTCTGGCCGTGCCCACACAGGGCATCAAGTACACACTGCGCTGCAACTACTGGCTCGCCAAGGATCGGGGCGATGGTGTCACCTCGCGCATCTTCGACCTCCTGGACGCCATGGTGGTGAACATTGGGGTGAAGGTATGGGGGTGCCGGGTGTGGCACTGTATGGCAGCAGTGGGGTAGGGCACCTGTGGAGAGGAGGAAGAGGGAAGCGGGAGACTGGTCGCTGGGGCATTGGCAGCGGGTGCTAGCTTGATGCACTGGCTAGACTTGCTTGCTAGGAGTCAGGAGACTGAAGTTTCTTCTAGTCCACCGCTGTGTGACCTCAGGCAGGTCGCCTGGCTTCTCTGGGCTTTGGCCTTCTCATTTCTAGTGCACAGGAACAATGGCCCCCTTTGCCCACCACCCCCATCCATGTAAGATCCTGGGCAGTCCAGAGAGAGTTGGGTAAGGCCACGACACTACAGCGACATCCAAGACAGAGCTCCCCAAAGGATGTGCCGTCCCCACCATGCTTGGTGGTGAGGCTGAGACCACTGGGACGCTGAGCCCTGGGTCTCACAGCCCAGCCACAGCGGCCCTGACAAGACCTTCCTTAGCTGGAAAAGGCCAGGCGGCAGGAGCTCTGAGTGCCTGGCCCGGCTTCACCTTGAACTGGCCAAGTGGCTGGGGACCAGTAGTGTCAACCCAAAGGTCAGGGCTGGCCAGAAGGCAGGACACTTGGGCCCAGGGCTCCAGGGACACATGGCGAGGTGGTGGCCCAGAGGCCTCCAGCTCACTGACCCTGACCTTCTGTCACTATGGCAGCAAGCATGGGGTCAACAGAGGCCCAGCCTTGGCCTTTCTTCCTGAATCTAAGCCTCAGGCCGCTGGGTCCCAGGACTGAAGCTGCCCAAGGAAGGTCTGCATGGGCCCTACCCCTGCTCCAGGTGGAGGTAAAGGAGGAGCTGGGCTGGGAGACTGGAAAAGCCTTGGTGCTGAGTGGCAGGAACAAGTGGCTTCACCCCCATCCCATCCCTTGCTGCAGAGCTTTAAACAGCAGGTACTCTGGGCCCCCTTCCCAGACACCGCCATCTGGGCGACAGAGCTGTGGGTGGGCTCCCAATTTACCCAGCCACCTCCCCGCACCAACCCAGTTCCCAGCGCTCATGTGGGCATGTGTGCCTCCCCGTGTGTGTTCATATGTACCTGTGTGTGTGTAAGGGGCTCTATGTATCTATGTGTGTGCCTGTATGTACCTCTGTGTGTGCCTGTGTATACCTATATATCTGCATGTATCTGTGTGTGTGTGCATGTATCTGCTTGTGTGTAAGTGCATATGTGTCTGCCTATGTGTGCTTGTTTGTATGCCTGTGTGTATGTGCCCACGTGTGCCTGTGTATGTCTATGTATCTGCATGTGTCTACATGTGTGCCTGTGTGTGTCTGTATGTCTCAGCTTGTGTGCAGGTGTGTGTGTTCACCTGTGTGTGCTTGTTTGTCCCTGTATGTGTCTGTGTGTGGGCTTCTGTGTGTGCTTCTGTGTCTGTTGGGCTGATACATTTCTGCCTGTGTATGTGCCCACATATGTCCATGAATATCACATGTGTCTGGGTGGGTGCTGCCTGAGCCTGCCATTGTATGTGTCTGTGTGCACCAGTGTAAGTGTCTGTGCCTGTCTCCACGCATGTAGCTGTGTGTGTGTCTCAGTGGGTGCTTGTACGTCTGCCTGTGTATGTGCCCATGCGTGCCTGTGTGGGCTTATGTGTCATTGTCGATGTCTGTGTGTCCCTGTGTGGCAGCCTGTGCTGTGCCTCTCTGTGCCTGGGTGTGTACCTCTGTGTCACCGTGGGTGCCTCTGTGTCTCTCGGTGTATTTGCCAATGTGTGCCAGTGTATGTCTCCCTGTGCGTACTTGCCTGTGCAGGTGTGTATGTCAATGTGCGTGCCTTATGTATTTGTCTGTCTACCTGTGCTTGTCAGTGTATGTGGCTGTGTGTGTAGATCAAGATGTTTGCCTATGTGAGTCTGCCTGTTTGTGTGTCAGTGTGTGTCGGTCAAGGTGTGTCTCTGTGCGCCTTTGTGTGTACCTGCACCTCCCCGTGCATGTCTGTGTGCGTGCCCGCAACCACACCCCTCACCCACCATGCAGCTGCCTCCCCTCCAGTTGTAACAGTCCAGAGCTACACCCCCTGACTCCCTCAGCAAGGAGCCTGGTGTTTCTCTAGCACCTCTGATGTCAGGTGGGACTCAGAGATGCCCTGCTCCGTGTCTCTTTTTGGAAGCTCCCACTTACGTAAGGAGCAGTACTGAGCACAGGGAGGGAAGCTGCCCGGGGAGAACCTGGAGCCAGGAGCAGCCGGAGGCCTGGACCCGTCTCCATGGAGCCCGAAGCCTGCATTTTGGTCTGTCTCTGTCTTCCGTCTTCTGAGGCGCAGCACAGACAGGGTCCGGCTCCCACTTTGGTCTCACTCCTCCTGCCAACCCCCGATGCCCTGGTTAGGTGGCCGAAGGGGATTTTCCTGGCAAATGGGAAGGCCTCCTCACATTCCCTCTGAGGACCCTACTTCTAAGCTCACAGGACCAGTGAGGGCCCAGCCGCTGGTGGAAAGCACCCGGGCCCCAGGCACACTGTTAGCGAGGCGAGCGCTTCTGGGGCCCACGGGACTCAAGCTGCAGAGAAGCCGCTTCCAGCCGGGCCTGCTGGCATGTTCGGTTGCAGAAACGGAGTTCCTCTGCTCAGGGCACACGAGAGTGGCAAGGCCGGACTCTTGCCACCCAGGCAGTTACAGTGGGGACAATGGCTCGCCCAGAGCCCTGCAACTTGAAAGCGTGTTGTCTCCTTCCCTGGGGTCAGGGGGTGAGGCCAGAGCGCAAACCTTGTCCCCACCTCCTGGCAGGTGCTCTACGAGATGACGGTGTGGACCGGCGACGTGGTGGGCGGTGGCACCGACTCCAACATCTTTATGACCCTCTATGGCATCAACGGCAGCACAGAGGAGGTGCAGCTGGACAAAAAGAAGGCCAGGTATCGGAAGGACCGCCGCCCTCTGCACCCACCCTGCCTGCCGCCAGACTGCTGCTCTCACTGCTCACACCTGCGGGCCTTCCCGCCTCCACCCCTTCTCGCACTGGGTTCCTCCTGGAGGGCTTTGCATCCCCTCTCTCTCCTGTCTCCTCCGGGAAGCCTTCCTGGATCTCCTCAACCCACAGCAATTCTTTCCTGGCTCCCTCCTTCCATCCTTCCCTCTCCGCTTCTCTCCCTTCCTTCCCTCCTTCCTGCCTCTCTCTTTCCTCCTTCCATCCATCCCACGTCCTTCCTGCTTAACCTTCCTTCCTGCTGTCAACTGCTCAAAACCATGTCAGATCTGTTGATAGCATCGCGCCACCGTTAATCTCCTGGTTTCAGTCGTTGTTCAATGATGAGGGAGGAGCGTGGCCCCCAGGAAAGGCGGGTGAAGGTTATGCAGAAACCCTGCTCTCTGTACGTTTTCGGTAAGTCTAAAATTATTTCAAGATCGAAAGCTAAAATGGTGAAGACCTTAAAAAAGACAGAGTAGGTAGTCCATGTCCAGACCGGGTCAGGCCCAACGAGGAAGAGCAAGAAGCACCCCCCCACCGCCACCCCCGTGACCTGGGTGGGTAAGGACAGCGGCGGCAGCGCTCAGCTTCTGTGCGTTGTTTTGTGCCCGTTGTTCAAGGTGTCACCACACCCGCCGGGCCTCTGCCTGTCCCCAGCGTCAGGGGAAGGCCGTTTTGTTGCGATGCCAGTGATGCAAGGAGACAAGGGACCTCCCAGATCTAACCGCCTCTTTGAACAGAGGAGGGAAGGGACCCTGATGTGTCGGAGGGCGTGGGGGTCTGGGAAAGGAAGGTTAAAGCACTGTGACGGGGCTCCGTTTCAGGGCGGACTCCTCTGGAGGGCGCCGCCTGTTCCCCCTGCACAGTCTGCTTCGTCTGGAAGCGCTGCTGGAACCTTGCCCGTCGGCTGAGCCCGCGGGCATTCGAGAGACCAGGGGAAGCCCTCCCCTCAAGAAGAGGGGTTCACATAGTGGCTGCAAGGCTGGGCTGGAACATGAGAACCGTTGTGAGGCTGGCGCAGGACCGACAGGCTTCTTTCTGTTGTGCCCTGGGTCGCTGTGAGTCGCAGCCGACCGGTGGCACTAAACATCACTGCCGTGACGGCGCTGGTGGAAGAGGGGTGGCTTCATGATGCTTCTCACGCTGCTGGCCGCTCCGACGGTCAGTGCCACTATGTCCACTAGTGGCAGCGCAATGGCGCGGTTTCCAGTGCAGGCATTCTTGGGCAGTCCTGTTCTCTGGCCTGAAATCACCAGCTAGTCTTTTGTTTCCATTTTCACTGCTAAGGAAATGAACACAAATCACACTGAACTCATAAAATAAATTGCTAAAAAGACCTTACCCTCCAGCTTCTTCTTCACCTGTTTCAAAAGCCTTTTACCTCTATTGACACACCTGGCCCTCCCACAACCCTATGAGAACTGTTGTTAGCATCACCACTGTACTGGTGAGAAATCTGAGTCACTGGCGATGTGGCCTTCTGCTGTTGGGGGTCACAGGCCAGTAGTGGGTCGCTGCAGCCAGGTGGTCCTTAGTCCTACACTATAGGTTCCACTACCCATTTAGTCAGTGGTTCTCCACCTTCCTAACACCGCGACCCTGTCATACAGTTCCTCATGTGGTGGTGAACCCAACCAAAAAAAATTATTTTTGTTGCTACTTCATCACTGTCATTTTGCTATGGTTATGAATCAGGCAACCCCTCTGAGAGAGTCATTCGACCCCCAAAGGGGTCGTGACCCACAGGTTGAGAACCACTGGTTTAGATGGTGGTTAGCAGTGACAATGAAGGAGAACCTTCTATTCTCTCGGCCTCTCCTTGGGCCACCAGCTTAGACTTTCCGGGGTCTTGACTGGTTTTCCATGTTTGGCCATCGTCCCTCACATGATCCCATTAAAAAAATGTGTGGTGTTGGTGACAATAGACACCCAACTAAACAATTTCCACTTGGACAAGTCGGTGACATTAATCACATTCTTCAAGTTATGCAGCCATTCCCCCTCCCTTTTCCGGATTGCTCCTCCTCTGCAGACACAAACTCCCTGCTCCCTTAGCTTCGTGTCCACCTAACCTTTCACGTTGCTGTTGCCAGTGTGAGCCGGTGCAGATGGTCCTTTAAAAGACCAGAGTGCTCAAGGGGTCGCTCGTTTACTAATGAAGCTAAACTGTTATTTGGCTAAAAGCAGAGTTCATGGATATTGTTGGCTCAACGTTTAAGGAAAAGGTCGTAACTAGGCAGTAGTTCGGTGGTGGTAGTGGGGGGTGGGATGGGCAGTGAGCGTTCCCCAGTCTCAGCGGCTCCAGGAAGCCTGGATTCCCTAGGAATTTGAAATTCCATTCTGCATTTGCTCCTTTTAGATCATGATTCATCTTTAGAATCTGTTATCTAAATGTTCAGTAATCCGATCCTACATCTATGAAACCCACCACAGCCTTTTGCCTCTGGACCCCAGTGCTGCTTTCTGAGGCCTTGCCTGGCATGAGCACTCAGGGTTACCTCTGGGTGGCAGTGGTGGTGAGGATGGTGAGCATGATAGTGAGCACGGGGATGGGGATGGGGATGCTGAGGATGGTGGTGGTGAAGATTACGGTGGTGTTGGCAACATTGGCTGTGATGATGGTGAGGACGGTAATGTTGGTGGTAATGATGGTGATGATGAGGATGGTGGTGGTGGGCATGGTGATGAGGGGGTGGTGGTGAAGGTGAGGCTGATGGTGGGGAGGAGGAGGAGGAGGGTGGTGGTGAGGGTGAGGGTGACGGTTAGGATGGTGGTGAGCATGGTGATATTGGTGGTGATGATGACGGTGGTAATGATGGCAGGCAAGCATGCGCCTAGTCCTACCGAGTCATTTGGTGGGACTCCCGGAGACTGGGGTAGAAGAGCCAGATTAAGGAATTTCACTCTACCTCAAGAGCGGCTGGTGCAACTGAGCTTCTTCTCCCTGGGGAGCTGGGTGGGAGCACCTTTGGCCTCCTCGCAGCCCTTCTGCTCTCTGGCTCTGCAGCTTCTGTTTCCTCCTGCAGTTCTCCCTGAGCAATGGGAGCTGGGACGGTGACCATGCGGTCAACCTGGATTGGCCTCTATGCCGGACACCACCACCTCGAGTGCTCTTCAATAGAAACGGCCTTCAGAAAGTTTGTGGGGAAATCTTGTTGTCTTTTAATTACATTTTTGGAATGTAACTTCTGGAAACCCCCTCGTATCCGTTCACTCAGAACCCCTTCAGTGGCTTGAGGGGCCTTCAAAGCACGGTGGGAAAACATGGTCTGAGAAGGTCCTGGACTTCTCCTATGAGTTTTTTGAAGCTGTACCCCCCACTGCACCCTGAACGTGCCAGTGTGCACTTTACAACCAAGGTGCCTGGGTGCTCGGAGGTGTCAATTACTGAACCCTCTCCTTAGGATAGCTTCTCCTCCGGGTGGGGGCAGAGAGGAGCCGGAATGGGGAGGAAGTGAGCCATGACCACAGGCAGCCCCTCCCAGATGCAGGCTCCTCTGTCAGCCACAGAGCTGTTACGTAGTTCTGACTCCTAATGACATCTGCCGGCACAGCAGGAACTGCCTGCCCACGTGGCTTTCTTGGCTCTTATTTTGACAGAAGTAGATCACCAGGTCATTTTCTCAGGGAGTGCTGGGGAAGGGGATGGGGTTTCAAACCACCACCTTTGTGTTAGCCTCTGAGCCCTCTGCCGCCGTGCCCCCGTCTCTCTGTCTCTGAGCTGCAGGGTGGAGACTGTCTTGGTAGATGGCCAGGCTCCATTGGGCCACTCTCGCAGCCCATCCTTCCATGCCAGGGCAGGCTGTGAGCCTGGATCAATGGCTGGTCTCCTCTCAATGGTCCCTCATGATGAGAGACCTACTGTCGGTCAGGGGGCCTTGAGGGGTCTGGGCAGCAGAAAGTGTGTAGCTAGTGGCTGTGGGGCTTGGGGGTTGGGGGGGGCGCTCTCTGGATCTGGACCATCCAGGCGTAATTGGGGCTTGGTCTGGATCGGCTAGGGAGGCTCAAATGTAACCTAGTCTTCAGTCTTTGGAAGAAAACCTTGTTTCTCTCCCCCTCTTTCTTCCTCCCTCTCTTCCGAGAACCTCCATGAAATAGAGATGTCTGGTTCAATGCAAAGGGGACAAGGAAGGGAAGCACACAGTAAATCACTCTAAAGGCCCCAGAGCTCTCAAAGTGCACACAGACAAGAGCGAGGAATCCATGGGTCAGCAGATGATTTTCAGGAATGTCAATAAGCACGTCCATACCCTTTCCACCTGAGCAGGCCAGGCAGGGCTTCAAGAGGAGCAGGTGGGAATTGGGACCATCCTGATCATCAGACAGTGCACCTGAGCAAGCTGCCAAAAGAGCTCCTCTCTCTGCTCTGCCACTGCCTTTAAGACTGACCATCTGTGGTCAGTTCAGTTCCAACTCAGTGGTGACCCCCATGTGTGTCAGATAGCACCGTGGTTCCTAGTGTGGTCAGTGGTTGATATTTTGGAGCTAGATGGCCAGACCTTTCTTCCAAGGTGCCTGTGGGTGGACTTGACTCTCCACACTTTTGGTTAGCAGCAGGGCACGTTGGCCTTGACCCTGCTTTTGAAACTTAGCTTTGTTTAGTCTGATTCCTAGGGACTTCACAGGACAGAGTAGAACTTTGTCCGGTTTGCAAAGCTGTAATCTTGACCGAAAGAGTCTGCCACATCTTTCAGCCACAGAGCATCTGGTCGGTTCAAACTGTTAACCTTTCAGGGCGAAATACTTACCATTGGCCACCAGGTCTCCTTTCTCTAAGACTCAATCACTAGCATGGAATCAGTTCTGATTCATAGCAACTCTTTTTTTCCCCAGTCTTGAGGGATATTTTTAATCAAACATAAGAAATCAAGATCGGGAGTGTCATGATGATGTCCATCCAAAGCCACAACTGAAAGGTACTTTGCTTTCAGTCACAGTGTTTGAGGTTGCTGAGAGGTACCGAGCAGAAAACGAGGTTTCCCTCAGTTTTTAAAAGGATTTCCAATGCCGTGTCTTTCTCCCTAGGAAAGGCTAGTGGATTTGAACTGCCGGCTTTGCAGTCAACAGTGCCACTTGGCCTCCTTTCAGACTCTCACTGTCATTATTGGGTTGGTTCTAGTTCCGGTAGTGACCCTACAGGACCGGCTAGAACTACCCTTATGGGTTTCCGTGACTATAAGGGAAAGCCTCATCTTTCTCCCTCAGGTCAGCTGCTGGTTTCCAACTGCTGACCTTGCCATTGGATTAACTCACTGCCATCCAGTAGAAGCCGACTCATAGTGACCCTGTAGGACAGGATAGAACTGTCCCTATGAGTTACTGAGACAGTAACTCTTTACAGGAGTAGAAATCCCTCTCTTTTTCCCACAGAGCGGCTGGTGGTTTCAAACCGCTGATCTTGGAGTTAGCAGGCCAGCAGGTAACCATTACATCACCGGGCTCCTCTTTTAAACATCTAAACCCAAACCCATCGAGCCAATGCCGACTCATATCAACCTCCTGTGAGTTTCCCAGCCTGTAACCGTCCATGCGAGTAGAAAGCCCATCTTTGTCCTGAGAGCTGCTGGTGGTTTCGAACTGCTAACCATGTGGATCAAAGCCTAGGGGAAGGTCATTCTCCATTTGCGGCATTTGCCACCCCAGCATTTGTGCCCTCTCTTTTTTTGGTGGCTTCTTTGTGCGTCTTGTATTCGAGGCAGCAGCACGCTTGCCATGCGGAGCCGTATCTTTCGTGCCACCTGCACTTCCCCGAGGGGCTTGTCAGCAGCAGCATCTGTCAGCAGTCAAGCAATCAGTCAGCATTGAAGGTCGCAATGTGCGTGCGGCGCTGCGGGAGAGCAGTAAGGAATATAGATAACGGGTCTCCCAGAGGATGGGGTCACTTGCGAGAAGGAGAGCCTCGCTTCCCAAGGAACGTGCTTTCTGTTCACCCTGCACTTGACAGCTGTCAGTGTCTCCACGCAGCCTGGGCCCCGGTGGTCCCCTGGGCTGAGGTGTGGGGGGAAATGTGAATGGCCCGTCTAGAAATGTGCAGTAGCCAACCTGCCCCAGCCGTTCACGGCAGGCCTGCCCCTCCAAGCATCTCATTGAAACTCGGCAAGTACAGATTTCTGTTTACATTGGAAATTGGGTTCCCATCGACTGGGTCCATGTGAGTGTGTCATGGGGTCACCATGTCAGTTTCTCCCCGTTCCAGGTGGGAACCGAGGTCCAGAGAGGAGCAGGCATTGCCCTAGGAGCCTAGCAGAGTGAGATGAGAGCCTAGAACTGGTGGCAGCCTAACCCTCTTCACTCAGTCTTTGAGGCATAGTTGGGGTGTGACAAACAGGCTGTCGGGGAGTCCCTGAGGGCAAAGAGAAGGGTTGAGTGGAGCCCCTGCTTCAGCCTCCATCCTTCATACCCCCTGTTTGCACCCCAGGTTTGAGCGGGAGCAGAATGACACCTTCATCATGGAGATCCTGGACATCGCCCCCTTCACCAAGATGCGCCTCCGAATTGACGGCCTGGGCAGCCGGCCCGAGTGGTTCCTGGAGAGGGTAGGCCCGGCCCTCCTCCCTGCTCCTCAGTGGACCCCAGAGTTCAAATGCCACCCTAGGAGGGGAGTGCCACATAGCCTTGCCTGTATAATCCATGACACCCTTGGGCATTAATTACCCAGAGAACTTGGTTTCGTTTATTTGTGGTTAATTGCAACTATTATCAGCTGCCCACGAATCCAGTGTAAGCTGTCCCGTGCAGTGTGGAGGGAGATGGAATGAAGGGCAGCTTGGGGTGGGCTGCTTTGAGGTAGTGAGTCAGGAAGCATCCAGAGAGAGGCTCAGGGTGGGACCCTTAGGCAGGTTGAGCAAGAAGCTTTGGGCGTTCCTCGAGCCATGCACTTAGGTGGCTGCCACTTAGTCTGTCTTGATCATCCCCCCTCTCCCCGGGGACCGGCCAGAGTCTGCCTAGCAGCAGCCTGGCTGCGGAGCCAGGTCTGAGGGCACTCTGCCCAGGCTGAGAGCAGCCTAGGGCCGGGACCGCTGCCCACAGGCTCCCTCATCTCCAGATCCTGCTGAAGAACATGACCACTGGTGAGCTAACCATGTTCTACTACGGAGACTGGCTGTCCCAGCGCAAGGGCAAGAAGACGCTGGTGTGTGAGATGTGTGCCGTCATCGACGGGGAGGAGGTGATGGCGTACACATCCTACTCCGTCTCCGTGAAGACCAGCAACCTTTTGGGTGGGTCTGGACCCTTCTAGCGCCTGCCACCCTTGCCCACACCCTCATATTGTGCTTCTTGCTCTGGGCCCAGGTCAGGAGGCTTTTGTTGGGGTGGGGGGGCGAGGGGGTTTCCAGGAGCTAGTCAGTTCCACTCCCTTCCCCAGGTGTCACTTTCTGCCTCAGCAAAGGATTTCCTACCTGGTCCCTTCCATCCTCCCTTAGGCAAGTGGGGAGACCATGTACTGGGGGCGGGAGCCACCAGGGGAACACTTGAAAATGATGCAGAAGATGCAGCTTGACTCGGAGCTCTCCAACCTCTTGGCTGTCTACACCCCTCACGCAAGCGCCCTTGCGTGCCAGCTGCCTGAGGGTCTGTACTCTTGGTCACACTGGCAACCATCAGCCGTGTGCCAGCTTTGGCCCCAGATCTTATGACAAAGATGTAAGCTCGCGGGGCGGACCTCTGAGTGGAGCGACCCCCAAGTGCAGGGCAGAGAGGGTCTGACTGAGGTTGGTGCAGCAGACAGGGGGAGTAGATGAAGGATGCCTTGGGGTGGGGGGGTTCATGAAGGCAGGGCTTCAAGAAGAGGTGATGCCAAAGGCCAGTCTGGAAAGACAAATGAGCAACTGAGTCCCAAAGTTAGTGCCTTCCAGCATGGGAGGGCCTGGGCCTGAAAGCACAGCTGTCTCACCTCGAAGAGCGTGCCTCCGGCCTGCCTGCCCCAAGCCATGCCTGCTCTCTAGGAGCCGCTGCAAGGACGCGGATGGGCTCAGCACACGGGTTAGAAAGGGCAGCGAGGCGGTGCAAACAGTCACATGTTCAGCTACCAGCCGTGGGCGCCATGGAGACGTCGGTCAGCTCCACAGCAACTAGCCGCCGGCTCGTGAGGCCGTAACGGGGGGTTGACTGTATCTGGATGGGGAAGGAGGGGCTTGTGTTTTCAATGTAGCCAAAGAAATGAAGCTCTCAGGGTAAGATCTCAGCCACAAGTGTTGGTCAGTGAAGGGGGTAATGTTTTCCCTCTGGGTCACCGTCTTCCTTCTCTCCTCATGCTGGGACTTTCGCTCCTTTTGCTTGGAATTCCAAGTGTCCACATGTTTTCCAGCCGTTCCAAATACGCTCTCAGAAAGCAACGGCTGAACTCATGGGCGACAGCTGGGTGTATGTGGAGGAGCTTCACCTGTTCTAGAGCCATTATATTAATGTCCATCAGTGGTCCACTGGGGGAACAATGACCATGCCACGTTTCGGAATTGTGAAGCCAATCTACCTGGCCAGCCTTTAAAGGTTGGGCATGCCTCGGCCAGGAGTCAAACTGGGAGTGCTGACCCCTCCCACTGCTGACCGGGAGTCCAGGCAAGCCAGCAGCATCTGCAAGGCAGGAAGACAAGTGAAGGAGGGCCTAGGAGGCCAGCCCTTTTCAGCTTCCCCTCTAGCTTCATGGACCCCGAATCCTGCTCACCTGCACCCTGGCGGCACAGTGGTTACACGTTAGGCTGCCAACCGTAGTCTATCAGTTCGAAACCACCAGCCGCTCTGCAGGAAAAAGAAGAAGCTGTAAACAGTTATAGTCTCAGAAACCCACAGGGCAGTTCTACCCCTTCCTGTAGGGTTGGGACTGAGTTGGTGGCAGTGAACTTGCTTTTCATCTTGGTTGGTACTCTGATGAACCTGGGCAGTGCAGGACTTACAAACTTGGCTGCCAACTTTAAGGCTGATCGTTCGAGCGAGCCAATCACTCTGTGGGAGTCCGCTCTGTAAAGACTAAAGCCTTGGGGACCCGAGGAGGCAGCTCTACTTTGTCGCTATGATTGCGGTCGAGCCCACGGCCCTGGGTCTGGTCTGGTTTGGGTTGGAAGCCTCTTGGCCTGTCTCTGGAGTACAGGCGCCCATCTAGAGGGCTGGGTCGGGGAGAGCTTGACACCCGAGCGCATACCTCACGTCTCCCCCATCTCTCCACCAGGAGCAGGTACCGATGCCAATGTGTTCATCATTATCTTCGGGGAGAATGGGGACAGTGGGACCTTGGCCCTGAAGCAGTCGGCCAACTGGAACAAGTTTGAGCGGAACAGTACAGACACCTTCAGCTTCTCCGACATGCTGAGCCTGGGCCCCCTCTGCAAGCTGAGGGTCTGGCACGACAACAAAGGTAGCTCCACCCAAGTCCAGGTCCACTCGAAGGTCACCCTGAGCCTTGACCCACTGTCCCGACAGCCTTGTCCACATCGCCTACCCTGGGGAGGCAGGCATCCCCAAGTGGAAGGTTGTCTCTATGTTGACACTTCCATTCGTTAAAGAGAGCCCGTGTTTCTGGGCAGGGTGAGAGATGAAGAACCCCGGTGGTGTCTGGATGATGCCTCCGAAACCACTAGCCACTCCACGGGAGAAAGAGGAGTCTTTCTACTCTCGTATAATTACCGTCTCGAGACCCTGGCCCATGCGGTCTCCGTGAGTCAGAAGAGACTCTGTGGCAGTGCGTTTTTAAGTACCCGGGGATGATTCTGGTACAAAACTCGAGAAAAATCTATCACCAAATTCACTTCGCATGAGTTTTCTATAAAAAAGCAATATATATTCCTGTTGCTTTATAATGGCAGGCCTAAATACAATTAGCCAAATTCACTGGTGAAGACGAACTATAAAATAGGATCAAAGCCGAACAAGAGCTTTATTGCTGCCTCCAAGGACCCGAAGGGATATTTTGTCACATCTGTGACTGTGATGCTGTTTGTGTTCTCAATGTTTCTTGGCTTATCCCTTTCCTGGCTTCAGGTTGTCCTTTAAGTGCCAGTGCACGTCTTTAGAATGGGGTTGTAACCCAGGACATTTCACTGCTTTGCTTTACACGGCTTCCTTAATTCACACTGCTCCATCTCATCTCTTGTGTTTTACATTGAAACTGACTTTGGCAAAGCCATCTTTCCTGAGCCTCCCCAGCAGTGACCTGGAGCATCCCAGAGGCTCCGAGGTGTGGTGGAGGTTGATGAACATCAGCATCGTGGCTAAGGGCACAGAATGGTGACTGGCAGGGTGGCTGCTAGGTACGTGACATGAGCATGAACATCGTGCAACCTCTCTCCCCAAAGCAACTGGACGGTTTTGCTTTTTAAAAA